GGAGGGGGAAGAGTACTCTATGATTTGTTGGACAGGAGTGTCCTCTGTGACCCAAGAACCCTTAGCCTTTTCCACTCCATGTTCTGCTGCAATTTTGCCACCCTAGCTATTCTGGACGTATGTCTTTGTGATATGTGAACAAAAAAAGCCAACAAAAAAAAGCCTGCACTTTGTGAGTTAAGTGCGACCTTGCATGGTACAAATCCGGCTTGTTTTAACAGCATTTAATAATGCACCAGTAATTGCAAGTTCACCAATATGTTTCATCTCTAGATTACCTAATCCATGAGTTAGGCCATAGGTCTCCTTTGATTTTTTTTCATGACAAAAATTTTACAGGGAATCCATTTTATGCTTGATTTTAGAATTATAGATGTTTTAAGTGCTTTTTATTGCTTTTCACTGTCTGTGGAGGACAAAAATCTGACTGCAGCTGGGTTAGACTGATCAATTTGATCGACTGTTAAAAAAGCAGAGGAAAGATTTACTTTGAGTTAACATTAAATAGTATTTTTAGTTTAAAGTCAATTAATGCATGCATAACATGGTAAATGAATTTCATTCCCATTAAGCTTAGCTATCAAGCAATAGATTTCATAAGGTAAAATACAGAGAAACACAGACTTCATAGCCTTCAACCGAAGTAAATAAATTCTGAATAAATTTCAGAAGTTTTTTTTTTTCTGGGACTAACCTTTATTCCATTCACAAAACTTTTGGGAGCTATCATTTAATCACTTTGCCAAGCGTAAGAAACTGGTATCACTTGCAAACTTTTCATATAGTCTTAAACTTTCACGATCAACCAAGCAATCAATCAATCAATCAATCAATCAATCAGTCAATCATTTATTTACTCACGTATCGTGTAGTGAGCTAAAAGCTCGTTGAAAATACATATGTGCAGATAAAAAACAAAGATAACAAAATGAAAAATATATTATTCATACATTCTTATGTTTATGTCACATCCCCTTGGGGCTTTTCAGTGAAATATACATGTATAACAAGATGGTAGGATACGGAGCAAAACAAAACACAATAAAATTAATTGTCCATAACTAAGAATTAAAATATATTTTTATGTATAAATATATTACAGAACCTAAATATATCATTATAAGAACTAAGATAACCATCACAACTAAAACTACAATATATGATTAAAAAGCTCTATTCCTAATAGTATTTATAAAGTTGGAGTGATGACATAATGGTCACGTGAAAAGCTTGTAAATTACTTGCCTGGTGACTCATGATTTACAAGCTTTTCTTGTGTTCTCTCAACATCCTGTATGGGTTTATTCTGCTGGT